TGATTCCGGCGAGTGGCTCAACTAACGTTTTGCTGAATTACTATTTTGTCGATATTTTCAACATAATTTTCACTTTTATTCGCCTTCTTTCGGTAAGATATATTGCATGTTGCCCTAAATTCCATAAAAGAAATCAACATGTTTATTGAAATCCATTCTGCTTCCAAACGCACTCTTTGATCTTCTCCAGAGTCATCAGGTTTCCGCAAGCTTTGTTCTTTCATCAACCTAGTATTTCAATCTTACATCATAACGCATTTGCGCACTCCTAGGATTCAAAGTAAGAGAATCATGTGAGTCTCAGCACGTTTCTTTGGAGAATGTCATGCATATCGTTTATATACATATATATATATATATAATATCGTTTCCTAGCGTTTTGAAACCTAATTAAGTTTCCCCAGGGTGTTACTAAATAGTCTATGAAGCATTCATAATCGAGGCAAGGGGCAAATATCATAACAGACGATTCAAAATTGTCGGTATAATATCGGTAGCCAAATAAAATCTTGCCTGGCCTCTGATAAAATAAGTTGTCTTCATATCTCGTCATATGCTTACAAGATTTGTAATCAACAAACACAGTGCTTTGCTGCTTGTGACTGGATAGTCCATCTGCGGGAACACCTGCTGTGTTGACTAAGGTTATAGTAAACGTATTTATCGGCAACTGCGATGAATTCTATTGAATTAATTTCATCAAATCTAATGTTATTTCTATCGGAAAAAATCAAGCTTGACAAATTTTTCAATCACGAGGCAATTTGGATACGTCAAACCAGCAAAATTCCTATCCGTCTGAAAGACCCATACGACGACTCGTGATAATTTATGTTGACAAGCAGAATGCCATGCGGAATGATCGCCTCAATTCCATTTGTATTGGATGTCAAACAGTTTTTATCAGCTTAAGTGGACTAGACAATGTATAATTATTAACATACTGAAAAAATTCCAGTACGATTTCGCAATATCCAACCGACTAGTCTCGACAATTTTTTTTTCAGAAATTGCAGAAAGCAATCATAGCAGGGTTTAGCTGCGATATGTACTAGTTGATGTTAACTCATCAATCTCGATGCACCTCTTGACGAAACCGGATTACATTCTCACTGCTAAGGTAAACAAAGTTCGGGTCTGCAGAACTACGATCGTACAAATAGACACGCGCGGTGCATTAAATGCGAGATCCAGGTTTTCGGCACGCTTGTCTAGCCACTACAATGACCCACACATATTTCATGCGAGGTTACTTGAAAAGCGTTCATTCCATCTTCCATAGACCACAAGCTACGCACCATACAATTGAGTACTTCTCCAGCCAGCTGAAAAAAAGATAAAGAGATATTCTGATAAAGTTGGAAACGAAATCCAACTGATATTGATGGTTCTCCATGATGGGTGAATTTTTGCTCCAAGTACACGAGAGACTGGTTAGATTGGCACTGGTCAATTTCGTAACTTTTGATATAGTGAATTTGCCAGCCAATCTGCGAGACTGTCGGGCCAACATCTGAGTTAAATCTGAAAAACACTTTATTTGGTAGATTTCCAGAAGATCCTCGGATAACTCTACTTGTGGAAATATGCCGCGATACTTTGACCGTCGCAATAACCAAACCCTGAAGCTTCATCCAAGCAGCATGTTACGTTCAGAAACATTTTAAATGTGGTCTGAGCTCATATTTATTTGTATTGCTTGTTTGATGCACAAGCGTGAAAAGTAATATGATTAGTTTTTACAAGCGATAAATTATTATAAACGTCATTTTGGGAAACCTACGAGGCCCACCAGAGTTCATGTTATTTTTGCTCACACACCCTTCTGGATCCCGAAGAATAGCAATTGCAACTCAAGATTTGGCTTGTTAGTCCACCATCGAATTCACAACAATAAATGTGTTGGTACGAACAGTGCCGCCCAATCGGCCTGCTGTTATTGTGTCCGCCTTTTTCGATGAAGATTGAGCCAGCAATTGCAACTCAAGATTTGGCTTGTTAGTCCACCATCGAATTCACAACAATAAATGTGTTGGTACGAACATTGTCGCCCAATTGGCCTGCTGTTATTGTGTCCGCCTTTTTCGACGAAGATTGAGCTGAATCAAAATCGCTGGCACGCCCATCCCACTCAGTAAATTGCAATAATTACTTCGCCGAGTGAAGCATTCCCGTACCCGCAGAGTTCCAACAAGAGTCACAATCGCTCTAGCGCTTGGCTGACAATTTACATCTGTCTTGTGGCACGCAGACCGCGCTGTCCGCGAGATTCGAGCGGTATTTTCCCGATCGATTGGCTACTAGCATCGAAGAATAGCAAGCTTAACAAGACGAATCATCATCTGGCGGCTTCGAACAAACTATCGTTCATATAGCGGCCATTTCGTCGAATGCTGGTGATTATAGTGTCGGGTGTACACAGAGCGTGAAATGCGCCATGTCTCTCTTGGAATCCCCATGCTGACAGTTTGCTGGCTAGTGTTGACCTGGCTTACTCCCGAGTGCTGCAGTCTGGCATCGTGACACTGGAGCAAGTTCTTTTGTTTCAGGAATTTCACACCTTCCGGACATTTCTACACATCTGGAAAACTGCATCCAGACGCCCTCGTTAGTTGACACAACGGATGCCAATCAACCGAAAGTAGATCCACCACCAAAGACGAGAAGATACAGCGTCTGATTTGCTCAATGGATGATGGAAGGATCTGACGAATAAAACTGCGTCCCACCACTGGACGCGGTGCAGTACAGGAAACAGTTGATGTCAGCTACGAAACACGTTGCTAGCCACCGAATTCGCGCGATAGTCCCATCCGAATGCAGCTTGATTAGGCCACTTACAGGAGAGGAAGTCGCTCGTGCCATCCGTTCAGTGGGCGGTTCGTCCCTAGGCTTTCATAAGCTCACGCCCAGGATTTTGACTGAATCTAGCTGAATCTCTCGTTTATGGTGGTCTCTTTCAATTGACTATGCTGCACCAGGCTACCTCGTGTTTCATTTAACACGATATTCGAGACGTTGCACTACATTCTGTGGAAGTAACGCACTACTTACACAGTTGCTGAAAACTTTGAGTTTCAGACAAGTATCACATCTCACGATCCAACTGCTTTCCATCAGAAGCGATATACGATTTCGATACTGTTCATTTGTATTCAAACGTGGACCGCGAATTGAAATCATGAAAAACAAACTTCAAGTGAGCTTGATAGTTCCTGACTGGAAGGTTGTGAGAATCCGAAAATGGGAGAAGCGAACGGAATAACTGAAGAAAATGTGAAAGTTTCGAATATCGCGTGAGGGTCAGAGGGTAAGAAACAACCGTCCCAGGTTTGTCACTTGTCCAGAGCGGTTTCCAGACCTCATATCCGGACTAGCGACTAATTTGACAGGTTGTTGGGAATGAAAACTTTGCTGAGCACAACCACACCACCCTTTGCCTTTTATGTGACTACATTCTGAGCCTTTCGCAAAACGTACTCTGAAGATCGAACCAATCGACCACCACCACCCACCGGCTCACTAGGGGAAATGCTTACTTCGACGGAATTCCCATTTTTCATAATTTCAGTCAGCACACGTTGAGCGAATAGTTGAAATTCTGTCTCGGTTAGATTTCAGCCAATCAGTTGATGATAAGTACCAGTTTATATGTCGAGAAAGACCATTCCATATTGCATGTCATTTTATACGTTTTGCCCCCGGCTTCCTCAACGAAAAGGCCGAATCCGTGCGTTTACGGATTATTCCTGCGACAGTACGCTGTGGTTCGTCAGCACTCGCCAACAGATTTTTGTCCACGGTATGGCATGGCTAATCCACAAACAGAAACCAGTTCAGATGTCTAGGTCACCAGAAATCCTTATTCTTTGAAGAGCGATAATCCTTTTCCCCGTTTTTGCTTTGTACTCGCGTGACCTATCTGGACCTGACTCGTTCTGTTGGTGTATGTACCCATATGATGATGTGAATGGCTGTGACCATCGCAGTTTAGATGCTCATATGGGATTACTCGTTGAGTCGAATGAACCTACTTGATTGTACGGGGAACATCCAAGGTGTTCTTTTATTCCGATCCCCTGGCAGGGACAAGTAAGTTTTCGGTAATAGCTTACAATCAGTAACATGTGTTTTCCAAGACCCCAAAATCATAACCTTGTTTGGTTGCCTCCCGTTAGACTGTTTTCATCAAAGTATGACCAACGATTTTACTTTCTGGGTCCTGAGATTTGCAGCGCTACCCAACACATTTTTGTTACTTTGTGTGTATTCTCTCAATGGATATACTGTACCCCCACCGTATTCCATTACCGTTTCGAGAAGGATTACTACCCCTTGGTTAGGTCGCCGAGACCTTCAAGAATGTTTTGGTTAGCTTAAACGTTAGCATTTCGACGCTTGTACCCGTAGAAATATGGTTGGACAGTCAATACTCTCTTTAGCCAATTTTATCTCAGGCCATAACGAGTTCCCGCAGCGGTTCATTTGAAAGAACTCGATAATTCCAACAATGTATGTTATCTCATCAAACCCAACCAACAGTATGATTCGCTTGTATCAGTTCGTCTAGTTTAAGTCACTTTTTGAGAACTGCATTTTCGTAATTCACTTCTCAGATTGCGTACAGATATTCTTGAATTAAGTTGAAAAAAGGAACGCATAACTTCCCACAGATTGACGATCATAACTGGGTAATGGTCCATGCGAGAACAATCTCCATATTGTTAAAACCTTGCGTTTTGCGTTGCTTTTTCCAAAAAAAACTCATAAGATCAAAGACAGGCTGAAATACGAACGCGAGGTCATTTACACATCGTGAATACTCAATTGTACGGTAACCCCTCGATCAAATTATGAACCCATCAATAGTACGTTTGCCAAAACAGTTATAGTGCTTAGAAAAACCCGCACCGAAGAACAGAGGGGTTTATATATTGTTTGATTATCTGTACAGTCACAGGCCGCGGCTAGTTCAGCACATGTCCACCGGAGTCAACTACTTCATCTTCGTCCGAAGAGGTGGGCTCCAAAGAGCTGACTGATTCCGTCTCTGTTACAAAAGAGATAAACATGCGTACGCATAGACGTGTTGAGCTGTAGACAAATGCTTATCAGTATGACGCTATCATAAGGCCGTGATCACACAGATGACTAGATGCTTTGGGTAGGTGGTATCAAAACAAATAATAACTGAAGTAGCTGTCAGCCTCCAAAAGACCGATGTACTTGATATGACTGTCTTGGCTGCCCGAAACCGGTTAGTATTCAGGATGGAAAGCGTGTAATGTATTGGGGGCATGGCAAAGTTGGAACTAGCAAGTTAGCCAGTTAAACACACAGTGGTATGGTAAAATAGATGGACCAGAGAGACCGTTTGTAGCTGGAACCGTACATGAGTTACTACTCTCGAAACCTTTTGTTGAAGCACATGAGAACGCAGCTTTGACAGAAACGTCGAGTGGGAGGGGGGCATCCCTAAAAACGCGACAGCTAACTGTGTCCCACGAAGCACATGCAGTTCTGATCAAGATGCACTCCAGGTTTTCGGACAACTGATCAAAATCACCTCAACTATTTTGGTGCTGTACGACACAAAACAAAAAACGACGTTGATGTGAACATCGTCTACAGGATCGGTACATCTTACTGAAAATTTCACAAGTAGGACACTCATGGCTTTCTCCTCGAAATCTGAGTTCGTTCAAAGCACTTTATAGTGAATTCCTAATGCGTTCAATCTCTACTATATTCAACGTTTTGCACAACAGTCTTGAGAACAGGGAGTTAACATGTAATTTCATACGTACTCACGCTACATGCAACCGTACAGGTCGAACAAACGTCCTGGTAAAAAAACAATATATGAAGACAAAATCCCGCGGCACTCTAAAAAACACGGAACCGGTTTTGAATGTTGCAGATTCATCGTTCTCGTAATCGAAGATTAATGAATTCAAACCTATTCATAAATATGAACGGTTGTAGTTCCTGAGTATTATATTATGTTAAGATTTGGCCCGCGAAAACACGCCGGGCAGTGAAATGCCGGCGTAAGAGTGGCGTGTGTTGAGCGAATGTCGTATACTGTACCAAAGGAAAGTACGGAACAAGCGCCCTGGAAAAGTTCCAAATCGAACGACGTTTATCGAACGTGGCAGTTGGATTGCGAACGTTTCATCACCAAACGACGTGACATTGTCAGTGCGGGGTTGAGTGTGTAATTTCCTATTATTCTGCCTATGACATGCACCGTCCCGAAATACGGTTTGACTCAAACGTTACTGGAAGTACGATAGGCGAAGGAGATTTCTCACCCAACGTCTGGCTTTTGCCTCATATGCGTTATTTAATGAACACCTAATTCAGCCAGACAATGGGAAGCTTGAAACTATGGTCATCAGCCGGTCGCTCCAACATGAACTCATGTATGAGTACACCGCTTGATGAAATCCGTTGTGCCTCCTAAAACCAAATGGTAATCACTCAGCTGTAACACACTTCCAGTGCTTAGCTGTCACACCATTTGAGTTATTGACAGGTTGCTCAAACACGGACAAGAGCAGTCGATATACTGAGGCTGGATTCGAACAGAGGACCTTCTGATTGGTAAGTTCGTGCTTTAACTATTGAGCTATGTCGAACTCAGCTCTCATGCCCTCGAACAAGAATTTGACTTCCTCGGGTAGGGCCAACTGCCTGAGCATCTAACTTCATTTTCTACTTGAACAATGTCGTAAACGATCTATTCCGATGCATTTCAGTTGAGTGTCCCATCAACACCAAGTTGCAAATTAGTTTTTGTCGCAACGTACAAGGTTGGCGCCAATTAGGTTTCGGCCACTTTCTACTTGACAATGTCGTAAACGATCTATTCCGATGCATTTCAGTTGAGTGTCCCATCAACACCAAGTTGCAAATTAGTTTTTGTCGCAACGTACAAGGTTGGCGCCAATTAGGTTTCGGCCACTCTGCCAGGTCATGTACGCTTACACCTAAAAGTAACACCCTATCGGTGCCTAGCTACAATGCGACCCGAGGAACCACGAGGGCTGAGATACTGTCAGGTTACCCAAGCCTAGAAAAAAGACATCACAGTGTGTACTCGGTGCATGCGCTCTCCAGATTAGATCATCCCCAGTTTGTAGAGGGAAGTAAGATGACATGACCGAAAACTGAACGGGTTGGAGTTATCGATTCAGATTGTGAATAACCTACCTTTTTTTCCCCAGAGGATTGTAATTGGAAGGAATATAGTGTTTGTTTGGATAAAATCTTCTGTTTAGTTTAGTACATGATGTGGTCGAGATGGCTCAAGTGGTTAGAGATCCGCGGTTTGAACCCGACCTCTGCCTCTCGACTTCCTCTGTCTAGGCTTAGGCAACCTGGCAGTATCTCAGCCGTCGTGCTTTGCAGCTGGGCACCGAGAGGGTGTTACAGCTGAACAATTTTTTTCTTCTCTCTAGAACTAACGTGCTGCCAATCGTTGTGTAAACCGGTACGGTTGTGGCGGTGCCTTTGTAATATTGTCCTGCAGACAAATACAAGTTTGCATGCACACACACACAAAGATAAATTGCGAAACACTGCGAAACACCACTTACCATCGCATGGCGGAAGTTCATTGAGCAGCTGCGTCATTTCGTCCACAAGTTCCGAATCACCCACTTTTCCGGAGATCAGATCTTGAGAAAAAAGAGAGACTGATTTTTACGCACGAAAATAAAAGGCGCACTGAGTCGACTTAGGTGAAGGGTAAAAGTGCATAGAATAGAGCGGCAGTCGTTCTTCAACTAACTTATTACGCAGGGTCATGTCGATGAAGCCCATGCGGTCATCCGAACAAACCGTACCGTGGTGTAAATCAGAGGGAAGATGTTCAAGTACACCGAGACAAGATAGGTCATGGTTACAGTGATTAGCTAGCTCTGTAAACCTACCACTTTTGCGGTGGTCGCATATAACCGAAGTAGATCTGGATCACTCTCCTTCCACAATTTCCGACCAACGACCGTCAGCAAGTAGTACACCTGGTAAACAGAGAAGCAGCAGTTTGGTTGGGCAATGTGAGAAAAACAATGCTGAACATTGTAGGGCATTTCATTTTTCCAGCTGAACTTACCAGAGATCGCAAAACAGTGCTACTCTACTTCACTTGAGAACTCGAAATACTCATCGCAACTGAAAAAAATCGTTCAGCTGTCGCACCCTTTCGGTGCCTAACTGCCATGTTACCCGAAGGAAGCACGAGGACTGGGGATACTGCCAATGCCAAAATCTAGACAGGGGAAGTCGAGAGGCAGATGTCGGATTCGAACTACGGACCTTCCGATCAGCATATTCGCGCCCACCCCCACAGCCGAATGGAACTATACAGCTATATCATCCTGGTTGGCAGTCATCAGTGAGAGGTATCTCAGGAAGTTATGTGGAGCCTGGACAAAAGCAGTTGAGCCAGCTCGGCTCCTTCTGCTCGACTGATGAGGAGACGCTTGTCGGTAGACTGCCATGCATTCTAGCCAGAAATAAATAGAGACACCGAATGAGAAAGGTCGAGTGCGTCGTTCACTAAAACGGGGCCGGAAATGTCCGTAACTGCCAACCAGTTTCCGTATGGTGACAGCATGTGCAAATGAGCCCAATCATTCTGAAGACCGAAAAATTCCTTAATTGCTAAGGATGTAGCAGGTGTAGTGTTGCACAAATGTGCCAGGTGTTAGTAAGCCAACCGACTGTTAGGTTAACAAGCATAGGAAGTGGAAAAAAGCGAATGAACAGACCAACCTCCAAATTGTCCTCCTCTTGTTCAAGCATGGCTTCCAAAATTGTAGCACATTTCTACAAGGTGAAGTGAGGGGGCGGGAATTCAGGAGGCTGGTAAAAAAAGAGTATTGAGGGACAGTGCAAAATGTCACTGAGAAGCTAGCCGCTAAAAATACCAAATGCAGTCAGTATATATTCATCATTCTGAAGTGTAAAAACCCCTCGGAGAGTGGACAAAACAGACGGATCTAAATCTGCATCAATTCCTTTTCTTATCTTCTCAAGTCTTTCCGCAAAATGGCCGCTTTTATAAACAGGTAGTATGGCCGGTCATGGAAATCAATCCGCTATAGGCTTCCCCTAATTGTAGGGTATACAAGGAGCGGTCGCATTTAACCTAGGTTAACTGTTTTTAAACTGCCAGAACCGAGAATGCCTAACGATATTAGCAGGGTCACTACTCTGTGACGATGAAATAGTTCAGATGAGAACAACTATGGTAAAACGAAATTCTACCCCATCACCATCCCTCTATTGAGTAACAAACTCAAGGAATTCATGAGACATTTTCTCCAACCTAATATGATATCCTTAGTTACCGTGAGGACGCAGAGTAAGGGAAATTCCACTGGACTTATGGATTCAGAGTTCCCGGGGGGCTGCTCTGTTAGATGTCTGATGCGCGTGCACTGCCGACACACTACTGACCAAACAGCGAGGTTCTCCTGATTTGGCTTGATCGATAATTGATTGATGAATACATGGCACTATCGTTTTGAGGGAAAAAGTGATGATACATCGACATTTTTTCGCGTGCCCAGTAAGTATTTGAGTGCACTTTTGCGATTAAATGTTCTTTGGTTCTTATTCGGCAGAATGAACTCGCAAACTGATGAGTATTACGCATGACCACATGATAGAATTACATCTCAGAAGCGTGTTTAGCATCTTTTTTTAATCAGAAGCGCACAATTAAAACGATGTTTGAAACCTCAGGGTCAGCTGCAAGTCTACAATCCCAGAAGAGAGAAGTTAGTACAAGAAAGTACCTCGTGACCCGGTATTTGGTTAGTTTTGGCGTCCAGTGAAAGAAAAACTTCACCTCAGAAGCGACACGGCACGCCAAACACATCCACACTTACACTGTGCACTAGGAAGTACCCACTTAGAAAACAGATATAAGCTAACTACGGACCGGTAGACGTACGCCTTCAAAAGCAAGACAACTAGAACCAAGGGTTTTAGAGGAAGAAAATTTAGTCGAGGAAACAGGCTTCGCAACACTGTTTTTTAATTGCAGCACTACCAGAATCGGAGTAAAACAATTAATAGTCGCTGGAACCGACGCCTCAACCGCCACAGTGGTAAGAACTCAGGACTATCCGTAGGTCATATTGGTCGATTGATTTCATCAGCAATGCCGAGGCATCATGTCGCGACATCAGTTCGTTTTCCTGCAATGGACGACAGATAACAACAGACGAAGTCCTCGAGCAGTTGGTCACTAGCGTATCGGATCACCTGAAACAGCAGGCGGTCTTTGTGCAGCACACTCCGTTGAAGAATATCATAAACGAGAGATTCAGTTGAATCTCCTGTGGGAAACTAATTGATTTGAAAATGAGTGTAGTTGTCAACGATTTGGGCTCAAGTAGAACATATAATTGACGGAATCTCGGGGACTGCGTGCAACTGATGGGCCCAAAAAGGGCGAAACCAGCCGTGAGCTGTCGGAGAGTTTTCAGCAACATTGTGAGTAGTCTTCAACAGAATATTCTAACGGTCTAAGGCACGTTGGCGTTTCCAAACAGCTAGATATCTTACAAGCTCACGATCAATGACTCATGAGAGCAACTGATGGAGGGAAGAAAGCAAACCGTTATTTTGGTCGGCCTATTCGTTCGTCTCTGAGTGTTCGAATTGTATCAGACGGATTTAAGACGACGATTGTGATAGGCGCACTGGGCTATCTGCGAATAGGATGTAGACGAGCGTTCGCAGAAGCACCCAAACATTTTCGCGATGAAATACAGGTATGGCAGATGTACCCCAAGTCTCAGGTGGGGTCTACGAGACACTTGGATGAAGCAGCTTCGCGCCACACCTACCGAATCGATTGAATGCGATTGAATCCGTCTTCTCCTGAACGCGTCTTCTTAAACTTTCCTGAATATTCATTGACTCCAATCATTCATTGCCCAAACCCAAACAAATGCTACAAAGCAACTCCACAAATTCCGCGACAGATCTCCCCTTTTCAAGAGACCCAAAGCGAATTTCCAAGAACGACGCATACTACACGCATGTCTCCCCATCAGTAGTATCACCGTTACACATTTGCATTCGAGTCTGGCTGAGTGGCATTAGGAACTACCTACTGGATTATATGATGGAGATACACCGAATAGCTTTAACAAACACTGGTACTGGGTGAAAACATTACTTCTACTCTGATAAAGACTGGTGGACAACACCGTTATTAGCTGAGCTTCTCAAGGACACCGCTAGAAAGTACCGGTTTGCTCATCAATGAGAGAGAGAGAGAGTATGGACAGGATGATTGGTCGGGTAAAAATTTGTGAAACAAGAAATGCACTCACTTCGTCCATTTCCAATTCTATCATCATTCGGCAGAGAGAGATCAACCCGGAAAGTGGTATACCTGTCAACTGTTGAGATGAACGGAACAAAAGTCAACGAGAATACGACTGGTAACAGCGTTATTCTACTAGCAAGAATGGTTGGGAAGCAGATAAAGTCGCACGTCATTGGAATACAGAGGTGAAAGGGACGTCCAAACTGTGCAAATTTACCTCTTCCAAATCTAATTTGGTCTCCTCAGTGTGTGCCACTGAATTGGAAGCATCGCTCGTTGCATTGCCCATCGGTTCGTCAGACACCTCGGCGGATGTTGCTCTGGGAGCTTGTTCCTCAGTAAGGAACGTTTCGAGTTTTGTCCACCATATGTCCAGACAGCGTTGGACAGCATCCCGAGAAGCCTAGAGGATGATTTCAACATTTAAGCTCAGTTGAGGACAGTAAAACTGAAAACACAAGACGCTAAGTAAATGCTGCATATGACTGAGTCGTGACGTCATTCCGGTGGGAATACCAGGTGATCGCCATGGAAACTGGACTGAAATAACCGAAAAGTGAGGCGCCCGATAGAACCAAAATCACCCGACTTGGACCTCCTACCTTCACCCTGAGCTATCTTGAGGTTGGCCAAAACGATTCCGACTAAAGCGCAATATTCACTAATGGACGATTTAGTGAATAATCCAGAATGACAATCACAAGAGCAAATAAGTACACCCTTCTCAAATAGCCAATCGCAACCAAACGGTTGGTAGTATCCAAATGTTAAATTATGAGTCGAAAAACGACAAGAGTCAACACCAGTCGAACAGACTGAATGGTTGATAGCATGAGGAGATTCAAAAATTCGTCCGGCTGTAAAACCCTTCCAGTGCCTGGACTGCCATGCTACCAGAAGGAAGCACGAGAGCTGGAATACTTCCAGGTTGCCGAAGCTTAGACAGAGACAGTCGAGATGCACAGGTCGGATTCGAACCACGGACCTGCCGGTCAGTGGATTTGCGCACTAACACTTTAGGCCATCTCGCCCCATTGGTGCTATTTGGAACGAATAGAAGGTGCCTGCAGAACGGGGCATCTTCAAAAGTGTACAGCTGTTTCATCGGCAGATATGGGACACGTACCTGTGAGTCAGCTGTGACCGTATAGAAGTTGGCTGCAGCAAGCCAAGCCTGGGGGTTGGTGGGATCAGTCTGTGTCGCACCTTCAAATGCCTTTTGACATTCAGTTCGCGCTTCGGGGAGATCACTTGAAGAGAAACAAGGTGGATCGCGTCGCAAACAAGGAGTAATATGGAAGGGAGAGAGAGAATAGCGGGAAAATTGAAGTATTTACAAAAATTAGAAGGGATGATGATAGTGACAAATAAAAGCCAACACGTTTCCCAATCTACCACAAATCCGTCATGTATAATTCAGCAATCGCACAGAACGCATTCGATTCTGCTCGTTGCAACGTCTCCACGGTTTTGTTTTCGATTTCTTCAGAGGATCTGTGAGCGCAGCTTCCTTAAAATGAAAATGCAAACTAAGATGGTGTAACCGATAGACAACTGAATGCCTTAGGAGCAACGTGTTCGAATACGGTGCCACTAAAACGGTGTTTGTGCCTATAAACGGGTGAGTCAGTCCAGATTCGACTGAGTCTCTCGTTAACACCAAATTGGTTTGTAAATGGGTGTAATTCACCAATTGTGGACAATCCAGTGTTCACGTCCATCTGGTGAGTCCCAACGAGGGTAAAACCAGTCGTGGGCTATCGAAGAGTTTTCAGCAACCTTATGAGTAGTATGTTCCGTCATCAGAGGAACAAGATTAATTCCTAACCAACACAGACTGAGAAAGAGCAATTAGGCGTGTCCGTGGAAACAACATCAAAGTGTAGAGACTTTCAAGAACAACAACCATCCATTCTGTGTCATCAAAGTGGAAACCAGTGAAGGGCGAATGTTTGAAATGAGATTTAATCACTACCATTAGCAAACTTTTGCCTCTGAATACGAAATTGTCGTCAACACGTATGTAATTACAAGGTTGTTGGCGACGGTAAGGGCGTGACCAAATGGAAAGTGGCCGAAGAAAGTCCGGAGAACCAAAATAAAAAAATAAATGGTCACAGTGATGGTGACTTGGAGGAAAGACCTATGGATGATGTGCACTTGGATTCTTTCACGCCGGTTGATTTGAAACCAGTAACAAAACTGGAATACAAGTCCAACTGTGGACGACGAAGGTCAGTAGGCGTTACGTCAAGTGAAGGACATGATATCTCGCCAAATAAAAAAATCGTTCAGCCGTAACGGTCTTTCGGCGCCTAGCCACCATGCCATCCGAAGGGAGCACGAGGGCTGGGATGCTGCCGGTTACCCAATCCTAGACAGAGGAACTCGGGATACCGAGGTTTTGTTCGAACCACGGACCCTCCGTTCGGTAAATTTGCACTCTCACCACTGAGCCATCTCATCAAAATTAATGAGATAGATAGAAGTTTATCCCAACAAGTGAACAATGAGGAGCTAACAACGAGATAACATCCGGAGTTCTTTGCTAACGAAATTTTTCAGACTTTGACATCATCGTCAAGATCCAATTAGGACAAGAAAAAACAAACGTATTAAGAAGGGTTGAAGACTCACATTACTAGATAATTGTCGAAGTGCATCCAATCCTTTGCGATAGTAGGTTAACGACTCCGTACCCTCAGTGAGCTGACCCAAATACATATAGACCTCATAGTCCACCGTAGAGTTGCACGATAACACCTTCAGAAGTCGCTGGTATGGGATAAGAACAGATGAGAAACAGGATGAAATGCGAAAAAGCGAACTCCCATAGGTTGGTAAACAATATGACCACTTAACTCAAAGGCCTCTTAAGTGCTCCGAAAAAAACTTGGAAGTACTTGGTCCGAGGGAGGTGTTGACTTTGTCAAACTCTCACCTGACAATCTTGGTGGTCTACATTGGAATGCGTTACGTCCGGCTTCAGAAACCAAACAGTTAACGAGGGAACAGCGAAGAGCTGGGATGATATTCCAAATCTATATGAAGGTAGGGGTCCCCAGAAGTGACCGGGGGCAGCTGACGCCACATACTCAGTCACACAGAAGAACTATGTTTGCTAGGTGTACACCAGGCGTTTGTCATCACTCTATCAATTATTGTGCCGAGACATAGATCTACGGCGCAAGTGATTGGTACAGCGGTGATTTGTTCAGGCAAAATTTGACATAAGAAATGTGACTGATACCATCCACTACCGACTGCTTAATACCCAAAAGTGTACACAAATTATGTACTAGGTGTGGTGAAATCTCATGATCGTCCTCACTGGTAACGTGCAACTTCTTGCTGGTTCTAAACTAGCCACTGGGTTAGTATGCACAATCATCTCAGAGACCGCCAAGTGCAGGAAGTCGCAATATGCAAGTTTGCCTTCAGGAGAGAGAAAAATGACTGAGCCGTTGAGTTCCAAAAACAAGGCACCAACCTCCTTCGCCTTTTCGGGTCGACCCAACTCAAGTAGATTGTAGGCTGAAGCTTGAAGCAATCGACAGTAGTGATGATTCAACTCCGAACTGGCATCATCGAGCCCTCGGCTGCTTTCAATACGTTTCAGAGCCTGGTTATAACACTTCAATGCGTCTGTGAGTTCGAACCGATTTTCCAGGTCTGTGGCCTTTGAACAAAGGGGGGAATGTGTAAAACTGAGGATTATTAAACTGTAAACAAAAAAAGGAAGGTACATGCAGATGTCAGATGGACCGAGGAGAAACAATGCTTGGCTCATCCAGCGTGGCGTACTTGACAAAAAACGTCATCGCTTAGGTGAAAGGTATCATTCGGGCGAACATAAATGGATAGGTATGCAAACTACTGGTCACGATTCGTGCCGAGGACAGAAGGTTCCAAACAGATTCGAACGAAATTTTCGATTAAGATAACCTCCTGAGGCTGCTTAATTGCCATGTCACCCGAAAGAAGCGTGGGAGCTGGGGGCTGCCAGGTTGCCCAGAGGTCAACAGGAGCAGTTGAGGTGGCATGACTGGATTCGAACCACGAACCACCTGATCAGAATGTTCGGATCTTAACTACCGAGCTGTCTCAAGCTCAAACAAAAGTTGGGCATGTCAACTTATTCGAAGCAAAGTAATTACCCTAGAAACGTTCAAAAGAGCCAAAAGTTCAGAGAATCAACAAAACGGGTTTAGATGCACCGAATAAGTGAGAGTGGCCTCTGGAGTAGAGTAAACAAGTCCGTAGGAGAACATAACCGACAGAAGAGGGAGACCTCAGAAGAAAATATTCGTACACTGGTTCGTTCGGTGACACGGGAGTATCGCGAGGTACGATATTTTGTGAATAAATCAATAGGAATCTAACAACCCTTGTGGAATATATTTCGATGAGTTGTCACATATCATGTTTAAAATGCATCGGAATATTGGCAGCTGGAGTGCATTCACTGATGGTTGATCAGGTGCTTGTTGATCTGTTCACCGAGCTTGGCAAGTGCCTTGCAAAGCGGTCGAAATGACATCAACGGGGCGCGGTTTGATGATGCCACATCGATTAGTGACGAAACGTTTGCAACCTAGTTGCGAAGCTCGTCGAAGATACCGACGGTCATCTGATCAACCATCAATGACATGCTTAACCATAATAATAATAGTAATAATCGTTCAGGTGTAACACTCTTTCAGTGCTTGGCTGCTTTGTGACCCGATGGAAGCATGAGGGGTGGGATACTGCCAGACTGCCCAAGCATAGACAGGGGAAGTCGACGGGCAGGGGTCGGGTTCGAACCGCGGACGCTCTGGTCAGTAAATTCGCACTCTAAACACTTGGTCCTGTTTAGCCGTAAAATGTGAGGAGCAGTCATAATTACGTCAGAATAATACCCGTTTCAGGACACAGATCTGGGCAAAGCCTGTCTCAAACGGGTTCTACGGATCCAACCCACCAAATGTAATGACCAAACGCCAAAAAGAAGTTTTAAAGCTGAAGGACTATGCTCAGATATAGAAGAGTTTTACCTTTGTCGGAGCTTTTAAAACCTGCCCTCTAACACAAGATCGATGCTAGGAGAGGAATAATCATTCACCTACTCTGTTGATTAGTTGCTCAATGGACAATTTCGAATACGACGTGCTGGTTGACTCGGTGCCGGACTGAAGATGAATAACCGGGGTGAAAGTTTTTTTCTTGTTGGATGGCTTTGGTTTCCCCATGTGGATCCCTGCAACGAAACGAATAACGGAAACATTTCCATATTAAAATGACGATATGAATAGCTCACTTAACTGTGATCCCGCTGTGCGCATCAGGACAGTCCGACAGAAGAAAAAAACTTCGGAAACGGTATCGAGCCAAGTTGCGAACACCCCAGAGAGAAAACGTTGAGAATGATCAAGGACACCACCAAGCAGTTGAACGTTACCGCTGGGCACTGAATACGATCAGATTCGAGCCCATTCGCAAACTCGTCTGAAGTAACCTGGGTGAAATGTTTTTTCAGATGGATAGTATCGTTCAGCTTTAGCATCCTTTCAGTGCCTAACTACCATGCCACCCGAAGGAAGCACGATGGCTGGGATACTCCTAATTGCCAAAGACTGGACAGGGGAAGTCGTGAGGCAGAGGTCGGGTTCGAAGCACGAACCTTTCGGTTAGTAAATTCGCGCTCCAATCACTGAGCCATCTAGTCCCTGATGAGGAGTGCTCGCATCAGGATTCTTCTATAACTGACAGCAGGGAAACTACCGAAGCGCATATAAATGCTCCAGTGGTATTGTGGTAGCTACTCTCAGCTTTAGGTACAATCGCACCACTATTTGCTGACTCCATCCTGAACTTGACGTCCGGGTGGAGCATGCTCAGATGGTTGGGTGATCGTCCTGTATGCTAATAACACGTGCTACCAACAGTGTCCATAATAGTACATGCTGTTGTTGTGCTCTCAAAGGTAGCCACAATATGCCTGATTAAGGCCCGTGAATCGGCCAGTAATGATTATTCGCTCAGTGGTTGTTGACTTATGAAACTGACCGTTTCCGCCCAATGACGTCTGGAACATCATCAACTGGTGTCAATAGGTAATGTCCCCTTCGCCCATCGGCATGGACTCACTAGAATGATTGCGCCAAGACATGAGGACGATCGTTCGAAAGAGAGCGACGTGAACGTGCATTCCACAAATCCCGCAACTACTCGCAAGTAATAACGCACACACTTCAACAGTCATGAATTGATCAAGCGATCAGGAAGTCTAATTATTCGCTGTTGAAACCGGACCTACTCTTGCCAGAATAGCAACCACCCTATCCAAGTTGATCACCAGTGCGCAATACCGGATTGAACACGTATCAGGACGCGCCCAGACAGAAAAAAGCACGTGCAGAGATTGACGCATCCCCAAGGTCACCATCGATTCGACACGTCTGGAAAGTAGGTGGGTTGGCGGCTCTCACTAAACATGGCTTAGCAGCATACGACCAGCGCTGTGGGCCTGAGATCGTTCACGACCGGAACACCACCATTGGCTGTACGGAGCGAACAAGTGAACGACCATATTTGGCCATTTAGTCATCCAATATATATTACACAGACGCTCTGTATGTTCTGTCCTGGCAATACAGCCGTGTCCCAAGTTCTCTGTCTTTTTCCTATCCCGTAGTCTGGCAGGCTCAGTGCAACACGATAAGGACTCGCGTTCCGACATCCATGCGCAAACGAGCATTTGTGAATCGGCCATCCAACCACCGAAAAATTCAACAGATATTGTTAGTCAGCGGAGTCAACCACCAAGAGATATTCATTTGCATAAGTAACAGTGAAACACCCGTCGAAATTTGATCTCGTCCGTTTGTCTGCGTCACCGGAGTGAACCATTAGCCGAACATGTTCAATTAGACAGAAAGACGGACAGACAAATGAAAACTGGTCGATTCCGCTGTGATTGCTTGCTAACGTGAGCAAATCGGCCAACGCATTAGCCGATTGTAAAATGAACAGCTGCTCGTAACCAGTCCATTTATCTGACGGGATGGTAAAAATCAGACGTGACGTGATTGAATTTTGTGTATTACCTAATATGCTTTTGCATGGTATTACGATTGAATCGGTTCTATTCGGACGAAGGATTCGAAACACGGGGTGGGTAGTTATGAGGGAAATACTTGGGGTAACTAGGTAGCAGAAGTCTGCTCAGATCCGAAGTATTACTTCGAAATAACCAAAATTTGGATTGGCAAATGAGCGCCTCGTTACATCAAGAAAAGACAAATTGTTCAGCAGTCTCACTTAACTCCAATATAACATACTCATTGATTTAAAATACCGCGTCCACTTCTTGAAGAAGGCGTACATAGATTTATACAAATCACACACACAAGTCGCTCAAATATTCTGGAAACTCAACGTTGACACCCCCCCTCACCCCGAGGAATTCCAACAATTCATATTTAACCGGAACAAATCTGACCACATTCAATTATATCTCAATTATATCATAGAGAGAATCCCAAACTTGAGTAAAAGCCATGTTTGAAATACAGCATCGTTTAAAAATAACAGCGCTGGGAATCCTTCGTGAAAACTAGACAGTTATATGAAGGAATGGGTGGTGATGAGGCAATTTAAACACAGGGATGAGTTAAGAATGAATTTTCTGCAGAAGTATCACGGGAAGGCCACGGGGAACACTTCACTGTAGTGGTTCACAAAATGTACAGTCAGGTCTTCTTTGATGTATGGGGCCAGATCATCGAAGTCCTTCCGGTTGGTTTCAGGTACAATGATGTATTTGATTCCACCGCGTTTCGCCTTTCGATGAAAATCAAACAGAGAGGGGAAATAGTACCAAAAGATGAGAAGGATCTTCTACCAAACTGCCAGAAATGAGAGTTGGAAACTAACATCTCAGCAAATCAAACTATTTATCACCTTGGATCACGCACCACTTAAAAGCCTCCATGCAAATACACCGTCCTCGTCAGTGGACAAGTACAGTTAACTTTAACGACGTTTATACCAATGGTTAACCAATAGCGTCTAATCTGTTAACACTACATCCATTACGTAATCCTTGATGGGACCAGGGTTGATAATTCATGATCTGCGAATAGTAACATAGGAGAAATGCTGCACAGTCAAAAACCAGGCCAAACTTAGTCTGGCGCGAATAATAATTGATATCAAGAGGGCAGAACTCGCTCCGGAATTCACTCTAACCCCGTCAAGATAGTGTCGTCGCAGAATGCCAGATAGAATCGTTTCCTAAGGTCGGGCTAATTATCAAAGGATTCAAAAGTAAATTAAGTCAAAAGAGAACCTGATCGTACCATGGAATAGTGTAGTTATCCGAGTCACAGCTACACAGTATTTCCGTTTCGCATCATCCCTTTGGAAAGGAAGAAACTGTACCCATCATTCATGGAGGGGGGGGGGTTAGAATTACCGATAGGAAAGGGAAATGCGGATAATATTGCCGTCTTGACGTGAAAGAGAAGGCCTTGTCACATGTGCCTTCAATAACTCCGACTATAACGGCTCACTGACAACGGTACACTTAGAAACCTCCATTGACAACCACAGTAAGCGGGCTTGACATTTTGGTCGGGTTCGGTTCGGTTATATGGCGCTGTTGATCATACGGTGAACCGAACACGAAACGAACAGCACTGGGCTGATTGAGAACGCGAAATTGTACGTGAGAGTGGGTAGTGATCAACTCACCGCAAGAACCTTTTCCTTGATTCCTCCAACCTGTAGTACTTTTCCGGTGAGACTGACTTCTCCGGTCATTGCCAAGTCGGGTCGCACAGGTTTATTGCACGCCAGACTGAGCAGGGCAGTTACCATAGTTATGCCAGCGGATGGGCCATCCTAAATAAACGGGGAAAAATAGACAGATCATACGACAGCCGCCTTCCGTTCAAATGAAATTGGAAAATGTGAATGACTCTATGCCAATGGAAACCAAAAGTTCAGCCTTGGTGGTGTCCGCAATTTCAATTCAGTTAACAGCCCAAGCATTCTCACGGAAGACCCGGAACATTCTAACCAGAAGGGACTGTGATTACAAAATATAATACATTCACATCCCGTTAGACATTAAAAGGACCGAGAGATTGAGTATGCACAAAAACGGATTCCTTATAAATATGGAATTGGTGGAAAATATGCCTGATTCTTCACAACCAAGAGCATTGGACCCTGACAGTTGACCGGCATAACGTACTCACTGGAGCTCACAAATCCGAGATCAATCAATGACCCAAACTGCACATCGCTCACAGTCCCGGAAGACGACGATAGTCGCTTGAATGGGACAGCTTTCCGCAAAACCAAATAGTCAGTATATAAATTATACAATGCTGGACAGTGAGCTACGTCGGTGCTGCTCGCCTTCCAGGATGGGGACCGCGTAATCCTCACTGTGCCTGGTTGGAGACACTACAAGGTATGGCTGCCAACCGCTGTCAGTGGCGTTCTTGTAGTCACATTGCCTGAGTGAATGTCTGGAGGTGTTGGCACCTCGGAATGATTGCGGTAAGCTATCACTAAGTCCCTTCCCCGTCCACCTTTACTCTTTCCTTTAAGGCTTTCAAATAAATAAGGGTTGTACGGCAGTGAAGCATCGGTGTTGAACACCAATTTCATGCTGTCTGTGATGGTGATGATGAGTGAGCAACGTAACGGTTGAGTTCATTGTTAAATAAACTGAAGAACTTATTGAACATTCACCCCGACGGACCCGAAAAACGACAGCAGTGACCCCAGGATGCCCCGGCTGATTTCACGTTTGCTGCCTTGGTTCACCTGTTTCGGTGGGCACATACTGGACGGGTACGGGCGGTACCACGGAGCCAGCTATGTTCTGAATCTGTGGCAAGAGCGAGAAGAAAGACAACACACATGAAGACGTATGCAGAAGTAGAGTGTTTCCATTAAAGCCCCCAGTGAGCAAGTAAACAGACGGGCGAAGTTCACTCATTCTCACTGTGTACAGATGATCTAAAGTGAAATGAGAGTGCGGACGCGAATGAGAATAGTGACTCGGTCAATGAAGCCCATATATTATACAAGCCGTAATCCGGAACCTTTCTGGATAGCTTATGAAAAATGCAGACGCGTTGGCAGTCCAAGGGAGGTTAACTCATACTCACCAAAAACACCAAATGAAGAACGAAGTGACCAAACAGTACAGTGTAGAAAAGTACGCTCCACATACATACAATCAATCCATAGCGTGATGGAGTACGGAAGTGCGACACACTAATACGCACTGAGACGACGAGATGATCAGTCACTCTGGCAATCAAGTAATTCATCGCACGCGAACATCACTAACGTCCACCGCAACCGTATCGCTACTTGAAAGTCTCTGTTGGAGGCCACAAGACAAAGATGGCATGTGTGGCCAGTACACTGTCTCACCGGAGAACCGTACAACACAACATCGTGCATTGGTTATAGTTATACTTATACCAGCGGATGGGCCATCCTAAATTAACGGGGAAAAATGGACAGATCATACGACAGCCGCCCTCCGATCGAGTGAAACTGGAAGGTGTGAACGACTTCATGCCAGCTATCTTGGTTTCTGATTTCAATGGAAACCAAAGGCTTGTTCAGCTGTTACATCAGGCTGAATGAGGATAAGGTCATGGTGTCCACAAGTTCAATTCAGTTAACAGCTTAAGTATTCTCACGGAAGACCTGGAACATTCTAACCAGAAGGGACTGTGGTTGCAGAATATAATACATTCACATCTGTTGCACAGTGAAGGGCCAAGAGATTGAGTATGTACAGAAACGGATCCCTTACAGAGATGGAATTGGTGGAAAATATGCCTGACTCTTCACAACCAAGAGCATTGGACCCTGACAGTTGACCGTTATAACCCACTCACAAGCTCAAGATTAATCAGCGACCCAAACTGCACATCGCTCACAGTCCCGGAAGACGACAATAGTCGCTTGAATGGGACAGCTTTCCGCAAAACCAAATAGTCAGTATATAAATTATACAATGCTGGACAGTGAGCTACGTCGGTGCTGCTCGCCTTCCAGGATGGGGACCGCGTAATCCTCACTGTGCCTGGTTGGAGACACTACAAGGTATGGCTGCCAACCGCTGTCAGTGGCGTTCTTGTAGTCACATTGCCTGAGTGAATGTCTGGAGGTGTTGGCACCTCGGAATGATTGCGGTAAGCTATCACTAAGTCCCTTCCCCGTCCACCTTTACTCTTTCCTTTAAGGCTTTCAAATAAATAAGGGTTGTACGGCAGTGAAGCATCGGTGTTGAACACCAATTTCATGCTGTCTGTGATGGTGATGATGAGTGAGCAACGTAACGGTTGAGTTCATTGTTAAATAAACTGAAGAACTTATTGAACACTCGCACTGAAAAACCCGAAAAGGACAATAATAACCTCAGGGTGCCCCGGTTGATTTTATATTTAGGGCACAAACCAAAAACGACAGTCACAAGAAGGTACCTTTGGAGTAGCTCCCTGAGGAACATGGAGATGAATTTCCGCATGACGAAGGAATTTTCCTGCTGCCTCGGCCTCCTCCGGACGCAGAAGTTGACGAGGTTGTCCATCGATTGAACATGGCGCTCCCGATGAGGCAAATATACCTGCAAACGTGTGTGCAATCGCCACAGACTCTTTCATGACTGCGCCTAAACTGCCGGTAAGCTGAAGACTTCCTGAAATGGATGGCGAAAGGGAAACCCTATAATGAAGTGCACATTTCAAAGGTTTGTGAGAGACCAACGGTCTTGGAGGACGATTCCATCAAGGGTCAGTTTAACACTAACCCACAGATGATAGATTTTCAATAAAAATTTCATCGGACAAACTATAAGCACCAGAAGAAGAGAGAATACAACAGCAACAGCAACGTACCCTTTGGTAGCTTGGGCTCATCCACGTCGGAATCAGACGAAGCGTCGTCGGTTTTTCGTTCGCTTTGCGCAGGTACATCGCTGAACGGCACCTTGTTGGTACACTCGATGTACAGAACAGACCCACCCATGGAAGTCCATGCTAGACCCATGACAACACCTGGTGGGGTCTCGGATTCGTACAGACGGTCGGTGATCCACACGGGATGCCCCACGTACGAGTTCAAATTATCGACACCAACGATTATGGGTGGCTGTTTCTCCACGTTGACCAGTTGATAGGCAACTTTGCGAACAATCTGTGCAAAGTAAAAAGTGGTAGATTAGATGCAAGAATGCGCACCCCAGTAACAAAACCTGCAGCCTATATTCTATGGCGGTAGTAGCAAGCTGAATGAATTGCGGGAACTGACTTAATCCACCGGAATGCAAGCAGCAAGGACGCGAATTTCCTACCTTCATAACAGGCGGAAATGTGGGATAAAGGAGCCATAGCAATAATCAGTTAGCGAGTCTGAGGCCATATAGCAACAATACCTCCATTTAATTCCGCACAACCCAGGACCTTGTAAAACATCATAGTTGCCCAAAGGATTTACAGGATCGCATCAAGTCCTTCCAAAGCCGGCTTCTGACGCCAACCGAAGCTACCCACAGTGTTGATCCCTGCCGTGAATCAACGCCAATAAGCGGCTGATTTAATTATTTGTTCGGCTACTCATGAGTAGCTTGACCAACATCTGTTTATCATAATGCCCGTCGGCTCCCCTGGCGCTCGTTCCCGACGGAAAAGCTAGTCACCCGGGGGTGGAACTCAGAACCCCTCAGACAACGCAAGACCGCGCTATCCGCTGAACCAGATCGAATCCCCTGACAAACCTCATTTTTCATTACTTCTATATTGAGTTCCACTTGATTGTGCTTGTTGGAAATTTGCTTTAAACGGGTCTAAGTGCGCACTTGGATTTCAAGCGTTCCACGTACTACTTCAACACGCTGGCAGCTGAAGACTGTAGACAGTTTCCGTTACCTCCCAAACGCAATGGCTGTTCTGCGCCGTTATCTCTGCATACGACCTACTTACGCTGTCTGACTGTCCGTATTCGTGAGTTTGGTACCTACTCGGTATTACCTCTTTTTCGGCGGTATTGTTGATCGTACTTTCTGATTAATTGTCCATAGAATCAGCCCTCACTACAGGATCTGCGGCCAACATCCGTCTGTTCCTACTGTTTACTGAGTAAGAAATGCGCATAGTCTGATGGCTTCAATCAGTCTTTAAGATACTTAGCCGCACGGAACCTACAAAGCGTTTGTGACCACAGAAAACTAGATAGGGCAGAATTGGTCTACAAGTCAGGACAGGATGAATATGCGTCCTATGCTAGCGGCGACTTGACAGGAGTACGCGGAACGTTCGTCGCAAATAAACACTTGGAACAAAGTGACTTAGGAACGTTAAAATGTGTTTTAGCTACTGAAAACAGAGGAAGTAGCTTACTGAATACGACAAAGTGTTCGGTACAGGTGAAAGTCGATACTCGAAATCCCAAATGTGGGGAGATGGAAGCGTACTGAGAGAGCACAGTTGTCCCGCGAACGCTGTAACAAATGGCCAGCAACTGTATCCCAAACAGACTGGAAATGCAAAACACCTTAACCTACGGAAGATTGCACGGACACCGCGGGCATTGCCTGCATTACACCACAACTTCGGTTGCCGCCAGATTTAGCAGGTATATCGCCCTAAAGTCGTCTCCCACCGTATTGCAATAGATTGATAATAACAGATTTCAAGTCTCACTTAGATCAGTGTAGGGACCGCTCCGTGGCCGTAGAAAGATCACAGGACAATCAGTTTCTCGTTAATTTAAGTTACTATTGTGCACATCAATTAGTTCAAAGTAGATAAAACATTTTCTCGAAGGAAGATACCCACAGGCATGCTGAAAATCCTCCGAAACCTAATGACCAACTTCGTTCTTTTTGAAGCTCATCGGATAGGCGCAGTCCCAGAGTTTCCCTTCAAGCAACCTTATGTCCTGTTTAAATCCAATTTGATTTACGCGCGAAGCTCAAGTGAATCGCGCTGCGCAAAGGCCGCCTGACAACTCGGTTGATAGGTCATTAGGTTATCGCAGTACACTTTCCTCAACGAAACTACTCGCAAGGTTACTAAAGACCCTAACATAGCCCCGAGGAATATCGTAGACGATGGGTTCAGTAGGGATTCACCTGAGTCTCCGATGAACACACAGAAAGCAGTTTCATGCAACTTCTGGGCAGAACTGTCTTTCAGTTGACTCCCAGAAGGAATTTCGAGAATTTAGGGGGTAACGAAAACACAGATTTAGGGACGCTAGTCACTAGAATATCTGTTGTTGGTCCGCCTATTTCGACGTCTGAATAAATTTGTACTCTAGTTTTACGTTCTTGGTTGCTTTGCCGTCCTTCTCTAACAAGTTTCCCTTGGTATGGGGAACCAGGATGTTTATGCCGCACACTCTCATCTCGCATTGGGATTCCAGTGAAATCCGACAAAGTGACATGGAAGTACGTTGTGAAAATGATCAGTCTCGGTCGCGAACGTGCAACCGTAGTTCCACTTGTCTTCCCTCACACCGATTGCAGGGATACCAAAAAATTCTAGGGGCCACACCTGATACAGGACTTTGAGAACTGAGCTGTTAGGGACGTTAGGATCCCAAAAGACCGTCTATTTGTTAAATTATTGTTTTCCAAAAATTTGAATTTTCGCGCCATTTCCGCCATGTTGCACGTTTTTCCCGAAAAGACGACGCCTCTCTCCTATTGGTCGGTTGCACTTTGAGTGTGCTAACATATTTATTACTCTTCAAGGTCGTTCAGTACNTGCTCCATCTGTGCTTTGCTTTTGGTTAAAGTTAGACTAAAATCCGCCATTGTTACGTAATCAGCCAACAGCGCATAGATACATGAACAGGATTGGGAGGTAGCAGCGATGTCAGCTACAAATGTTACAGAGGACCATATATATTGACTCGCATTATCGCCCCAGCAGAATACCAGTCCGTCCACACGACTGTTTGTCTTTCCTTTGGTTTTTGTTGCATTTCTGAAACCTCACGAGTATCGCAACACAGAACAACCTAACTGTGTGTTCGGATTCTGCCTTTAAAGTATTACAGGCATCGTTACAATAAGTTCTACAGCAGCCTAGATACCGCAGCATTTTACCCTTAGTTTGCTTACACTTATTCATACATCATATAGCTTTCGGCCTTAACGGGTAAATCTTTTTTAAAGCTGCAGACGCACATATGTGAAGAAACGAACTCGCGAAGTGTCCAGAAGTAATCACATACTGAGCATTTTGCACATGCCAAAAACTAACGTATTACACGTTTTCCAATAAGCGACAGACATAAAATGCAGCAAACAGCCGAAACGATGGGTGGTTTGATGGTCCAGCGAACATTGGGGGCCTTGAGACGAATAAGGCACCCGAACGGAAGAAGGCGCCCAACAAACACGGAGTGTGCACCAAGCAGGCTACAACAGAGAACCCGAGGGGTACGGGAATGACGCTCATATGTAAATCGATTGATCGATCGATCACTTGACCAGTCATAACGGAGAGCTGATCCGGCAGTCGGTATTCGTGTTACAATATGATATGACAATTCAAGCTGACAAGCTGATCACATGGCGGAATTTCCTACGAACGATCTCGGTAATCTTCTGTCTGTGTCAATTTTGGGTACACAACTAAAGTCTAACCTCATCAGTTGGAATATGAAAGAATAAAGCGTTCAGCTGCAGCACCCTTTCGGTGCCTCGCTGCTATGCCACCCGAAGGAAGCACGAGGGCTGGAATACTGCCAGGTTGCCCAAGCCTAGAGAGGGAAGTCGAGAGGCAGAGGTCGGATTCGAACCACGGACCTTCCGGTCAGTAAATTCGTGCTCTTACCACTTGTGCCATCAGGTGGAATATACGGACTAACGAGGGGAGGTGACCAGCAATAACGAAACATAACAGCAATGGCTCCCTGAGAGAGAACCCTGTGGAGGGAAGTTGTCTTCTTGAGAGGCACAAAGTAGTGCACCTCATCGTCCAAAACTTGGTCAATGGACGATGTAATCAATCAATCAATTTAACAGCTATAAACCACGTACCATAGGCGCCTTGGTCCCTGGTAATGCAGTTTTGATCGCCGGAAATTGGGAGAGGGTGGGACAAACAGCCAAGCACTGGAGGCGATAGCGTTGATGCACGGGCACCACTGAGTGCACGATTTGGCCAGTTCTGTCAGTGTCATTAACCACTGGTGAGCTCAGTAGGGGGAGGGTCTCCATGCATGGGGCGGCAGTTTGTGACCCGACTTAGCTTACTGGTTAGTGTTTTTTATACTTTGTTGCCAGTCCATGTACTGTCCACCTCTCGGTCGTTCCCACTCGGCGTAGGGCTAGGCGATACCCCGATGGCAGGTTGTACTCAACAGCTGGTCTTGATTGCGGGGGGGGGGAATTGGGACAAATGATCAATGCTGTCTTCTGTGTCTCATTAGTTAGGTGGGCAACCGGGCTGATCAGTGTACGGAAAGACCTCTTTCAGCTACACTTAAACACGACTGTCTATGATGAACTTTGAAGACAGTGACTCGCAGAAAAAATGAAAGAAATACGTCATAACATGCTGAACGAGGGCTACGAGAAAAACCGTACAAATTCTACCTTTTCGATATGTTTCTGCAAATTTCGCACACCGCTCTCACGACAGTATTGTTTGATGAGGCGCACCAATGCAGCATCTTCTAAATTCATACGATCGCCGGTCATCCCACAGCGGTCGCACGACTGAGGGAGGAGATATCGCTGAAAAGAAAGGGAACGATAATTAGCGACTTCATTTGGATGGGGATTTGGGTTAATATCGAACGAAAATCGACCAACTGTTTCACAGTCTAAGACGTTTCGGCAGGAGAGATAGAAAGACAAATGCGTGGTACCGATAGGCAAGCAATGCGGGTGAATTTCCCGTGCTGTGATTTCAAATCCTGTTGATCGGAGAGAACTGCATAAACCCCACAAACAGTGCCAGCGAGGTCTACTTCGAACTGGGGGGGGGTATGGCAGGCACCAATTCATTCACATGGAATTAGAAGGCAGCCAAGCTAGAAGGATAGCTGAAATTCAATCGTTGTGTTGCTCATCCAGAGGTTCGGCTCAGAATGGATTCGAAACAATTCCATAACAAATCACAGATGTTAACGACAGAAACCAGCAATAGATGAACGTGTTGTCGGTAGTTTAAGTCAAGTTGCAACAACAAACTAAACGTAGGATGATTGATAAATGGTGATAGGTTCTTGTCTGTGCACTAAAGTCACACAATCGTAGACTTGCTGGAATTCGGACCAATTAATACGTGGTAGCACATGATCACTGTCCGACAAAAAACGAAATCCTGATTGTATTTGGTGCAATATGGGTATACCGTCTAGTCACGAGCCTGAGCATATGCCTCTTGATCGCAACAATGTTTCGCGATCTGCACCAAATCGATTGCAACCTCTAGAAATTTCAGAAGCTGGGCGCCTAATCTAGCCCCGCTGATCCGGATATGCCTTTTACCGGATGGGACAAATTATCGGTAGACCGCCTCGTCTAACTCCGGACAGGGCCGACTGCTCGCATGAACCATCGTACTCGGAAAACTTGAATTCTCAATCCACTACTTTGTGATATGAGTTAAACGTGAAGTTTTCGCAAACGCATTGCGAATAGCCATCCACGCCAAGATTTCTTTGCGAGCTAACCCTCAGCTGATTCTTACAAATGTGAATATCAACGTAAACAAAAATGGATTGAGACAACTGAAACCTAATGTACAGGCTATCTAGCTAACAGCCACCACGGGCGCAAAGGTGGTGGTCGGTGAAGCACGTGTGTATCGTCTGTTTATGTGGGTCAAGGTGGCATAACAAAACGAGAAAATAAATCTGGTGGTCGGGAAGCACGTGTGTATCGTCTGTTTATGTGGGTCAAGGTGGCATAACAAAACGAGAAAATAAATCCGATCAGTGAGCGGCAACTACCCCTGCTGTGTGAAGCCATCTGGATCGAATTGTGCTTGGTAGTTTAGTGGTGATAAGATACATGACAGCAAAGGCTGTGCCGTCATTTACTAGGTTTCCCGTGTCTACGAAGGTGTGCGAGTACGTCTCACACATCTGAAAAAAATCGTCCAGCTCTAACACCCTTCCGGTGCCTAGCTGCCATGCCACCTGAAGGAAGCACGAGGGCTGAGATACTGCCAGGTTGCCCAAGCCTAGACAAGGGAAGTCGAGAGGCGGAGATCGGGTTCGAACCACGGACCTTCCGGTTAGTAAGTTCGCCCTCCTACCACTTGAGCCATCTCGGTTCTCTCACACATCTTAATCGCAGGCTATCATGAAATTGCACGTCTGCTCATGGTCTCCTCAAATTTCCCAACGGGAATTCTGTCTTGTTTATTTCTGAGTATTACTCAGCAGAGGAAAGTGTTTTGGCTGGCACCTTGATCACCCGGCAAACGATCTACTCTAAAATTGTCTCTTAATTGGAGGGAACGCTGAATTCATGATATCCGTAGGTTGGAAACCGTTTTCTTTATAAAGAGCAAGTACAGTAGCGACGGAGCCCTTGTGTACCCTAGCAACTGTGCAAAAACGTGCCACAACTGAAAAACCAAAGTCGGGAGATTGCACGTCCATGGTCTCCTCAAATTTCCCAACGGGAATTCTGTCTTGTTTATTTCTGAGTATTACTCAGCAGAGGAAAGTGTTTTGGCTGGCACCTTGATCACCCGGCAAACGATCTACTCTAAAATTGTCTCTTAATTGGAGGGAACGCTGAATTCATGATATCCGTAGGTTGGAAACCGTTTTCTTTATAAAGAGCAAGTACAGTAGCGACGGAGCCCTTGTGTACCCTAGCAACTGTGCAAAAACTTGCCACAACTGAAAAACCAAAGTCGGGAGTCAAACTTACCTCTACCGGGCGCCCTTAGGGGTCGACCATATGCATCTAACAAGCAACATTTACTCTGTTTTTTAAAGAATAGCCTACGATTTCGAAAAAAAAACGTTTTGATGGACAACCCTACGTAAAACAAGAACTGGAGATATAGGGTCATCATCATCATCATCGACAGCATGCCATCAGTATTCAACACCGATGCTTTACTGCCGGTGGACAAAAAGGATTGAACAGTATGATCAATCTTACCTTGGCAATTTCCAGTTTCTCGTCTTCCACGTAGCCAGAAACCTCGATCATTTCCATTCGGTCTCGAAGCGGCTCGGGAATAGTATCCAGCTGATTGGCTGTGGTGATGAACAGCACGCGGCTGAGGTCCACAGTCACGTCCAAATAATGGTCGAGAAAGTTGGCATTCTGTTCGGGGTCCAACAGTTCGAGTAGGGCGCTGGCCGGATCTCCTTGCCATCCACGACCAAGCTTATCTATCTAAACACATTTGGGAGAAGGGACAGATTGGAACATATTGAGGGGAGGTAAACACGGTGGGGAGCGGTGGCAGATAAGGGCACATGGATGGTACATACTTCGTCAATTAAGATCAACGGATTCTCCGTTTTCGTCTTCTTGGAAGGGACAGATTGGAACATATTGAGGAGGGGGTACAGTTGTTGGGGAGTGGTGGTAGATAAGGGGCACGTGGATGGCACATACTTCGTCAATTAGGATCAACGGATTCTCCGTTTTCGTCTTCTTCAAGCACTGGATAATCTTGCCAGGCATTGCTCCGACATAGGTCCGACGATGACCCTTGATCTCTGACACGTCAGACATACCACCAACGGAGAACCGGAAGTACTGGAATAATGCAGAAAGTTTAATGGGGTTCATCGAATTTCCAAGCTTACTTTTCGATTCAACGCTCTAGCGATCGATCGAGCTATGCTCGTTTTCCCCACACCAGGCGGACCGTGGAAACACAAGATTTTGCCTTGGGTGGTACCTTTCAACTGACTGACTGCGATGAATTCCTGAAAGACAGGGAAAACGGAAACGAACGTATTAGGCGGCCAAATTAATTAGAGCTCTACTGAAAGAAAATCCTCTTGAAGTTGATAAAGAGCATGTCCCTTATGCAACCAACGTGAAACCTACCAATATGCGCTTCTTCACATCTTCCATACCATAGTGATCTTCATCGAGGATTTTTCGCGCTGAAGCCAAGTCCAGATGTTCCTCACTCGTTATACCCCAGGGTAATGTGGTTAACCAATCCAGGTAGTTTCGCGTTACACTTGAATGGAAAATGAAATGTAGAAATCAAAAGACGCAACAGGGATGTTTCGTATGCGGACTGTTAATGTCTGAACAACAGAGGGAGGATGAGGAAGGTACAAGTGTAATTGGCACAAAGCTGTATGAATTGAATACTTTTGTAATTCGCTGTCAAGTCATTGACTGCNTTGAATACTTTTGTAATTCGCTGTCAAGTTATTGACTGTCCACGTGTTGGTCGCCTCCATTCATAACCGGGCTGGGTAATAAGCGATCTGTGAGGCAGATGGTCCTGATGAATCCAATATCTAAATCTGTGGGCTATCTATGGCCTACCCAGACAGATCGGACATCAGTGTCAAAGCAAAGTAGGCCAGGAGATGTCTTAAATGGTTAGAATGCGAATTTACTGACCAGAAGGTCCGTAGTTCGAACCCGACCTCTTCTTCTCGACTTCTCCCGTCTAGGCTTGGGCAATCTGGCAGTATCCTAGCCCTCATGCTCCCTTCGGGTGGCATGGCAGCTAGGCACCGGAAGGGTGCGATCGATACGAAGAACAAACACATGTATCCAGTGCGACTGCATTGTCTTTCATATCAGCTTGGTCATTGATGAAGGCTTAGTGAACAGTCCCTCAGGTTTGAAGATGGAATACACTGTTTAGAAGAAAACACATGTATCCAGAGCGAATGCACTGTCTTTCACATCAGCTTGGTCATTGATGAAGATTTAGTGAACATTCCGTAGGCTTGAAGATGAAATACACTGCTTAGAAAACCAGATTAACGAAGTGCATAATTGCTTCGCTCCTAATAGGATTTTGACTCAAAAGCCTCGGTTAAAGGGGAGACATTCGTACCCGGATAGCATCCCAAGAACATTGCAACCACAATTAACTTCATACCACATTGGTGATATAAAGTGAGCAAATCCCCATTGAAACAAAAACTGAAGTCAGATGTACAAGCGTGAATTAAAATCCAATGCAGGTCGGAAGTAAGGGCGAGGTAGCGCAAACCTTACAATGGTTGCAGCAATTAGTAATAGTGGGGCGAGATGGCGCAAGTGGTTAGAGCGCGTATTTACTGACCGGAAGGTTCGTGGTTCGAACCCGACCTCTGCCTCTCGACCTCCCCTGTCTAGGCTTGGGTAACCTGACAGTATCCCAGCCCTTATGCTGCCTCCGGGTGGCATGGCAGCTAGGCACCGGAATGGTGCTACAGCTGGAAGTTTAGTGACCACTTATGGGAGCCAGTAGGGAGAAATGTAGGAAAAAGTCACAACGCCGCCGAGTGCAGGATACTTTTGTGTGATCACTACAAACTGTCATGAGATCACCATCAAGCATCAAAGATTGCAACACACATAGTGGGCTTGGCTGTCAGAGGAAAGAAGCCTCAGTAGAAGGTGAAACGAGGGTACTTATTGTAAAAACAAAACCTACGCTGCTAAGCGAAGTGTCTACGCCACATCTGAGCACCACGTTGGAGAAAGAAGCTGTTAGTAGGATCGATCCAACACTTTTGGCAAACCTCATTCAAGGCAACCCTAGCAAACAAGGACACAGGCGTTAGCTAGGCAGTTCGACTAAGGAGTGACAAACAGCTCTCTAAGGGGACCAGTGCTTGATCATCCAAGCCTCGAGAATATCACCAGATGAGATTTGCGGATCAGAAGAGAAAAAAGACTTTTATAAACATAACGATAACGATAGATAAGCCAGGTTTATGGAACACTATCAAGGCCACCGCTTACATCCTGTACTATGCACTCAGAGGAGCCCCTTTGAATGTTGAATAGGAGGGACCCGGAGGTCCAATAGGGCGCAGCCCCATCAAAGACCACTGTTCATATAAATGGGGACCAGAGGGACATAAAATAAGACCGTTTAGATAGACAACAAAACCAGCCCACCACGGATGGCTGTCCAAATCTGTTTGAAAAAATCAAATCAACAAGTTCAAGTTCACGCCACCTACGATCTTTAGTTAATTCATCCAGCGGCGAGGCTTGTCTTCACTCACACGCTCCACACAGGTGTGCACTCAAACAGACGAAGATGCGAGCGATCACAGTGAGTCCCACTTATTGAGGCCCTTTTAAAGGCAAACCAGACGCCAGTATAGCTCGCAGTAGTGTCTCTAGCGTGGAATCCACATTTGCAAAGAGGCCAGCCCTAGGCAAAACCTAATAAATCCCTTCTCCTGTTCGTGTGAACTATTAATGCTGCATTTTTAGTTTGACAAGTGCAAAAACCACACAAGTTTCACCGGCGAAAGCGGGATGTTCTGAAATTCAACCGACTGAACAACGATCCGAAAAATAAACGTCAGTAACACTTACTTGAACTCAGATGAGTGGTTATCCAATACACTTAGTTTGTTCAACTCTTCCTCAATCACTTCCATCACCGCCTCTGGCACTTTGAGATCCTACAGAGCGAAGAAAAACATTCGTTTATTAGACATCCAGCAGTCATGCGGGATAAACAGGGAGAGTACGGGAAACACATAACCAGAGCTCACCTTCAAGCGCGATCGAAATTTGTCCACAATCGTGTCCTTATCGTCCTTCTCTAAACCCAATTCACGTTTGATCACTTTCAACTGCTCGGTGAGCATGTAGCGTCGATGCTGTTGCTTCACCTTTTCCTCCACTTCACGACCGATTTGCTGTTGCAATTTGCCAAGTTCGAACTCTTTCTTCACCAAATTCAAGGATAATAGTAAGCGGTTTCGAATATTCATCTCCTCTAAAACAGCTTGCAATTCGTTCGGTTCGCCTGCGCCACTCAGGGCGGCACCTGATTGAAAAATGACAAGCAACGGTTGATAGATATGGCTCTTCAAGCTGGAACCTCCGAACTACTTGCAAACTATGAGTAGTGATACATCAGAGGGGAAACATCCACCTAACTTGGCAAAAATATCCCAGAGTTGATAGAGTACAGGGCGTGATTGACGGACTGCTTTCTGCTGATGATGAATAGCAGCGTTTAAACTCCTTTGGAAAGTTGGCAGATAGTGATGAGATTCGAAGCCTATGGATTCTAAATCCCTAAGGAATTCGGGAGAACAAATAATTAGCTTTGAAGCGTAGGTTAACCTCGCAAACAGCCACATTGGTAATGAACACCGAGACTCTGATGCCACAGACAAAAGTTGAAAAGCTCCGCAATGTCTACACTATTCACTGAAAAGCGTCCCATTGAAATGCACACATTGCGTTCATCGTTCCAGCTCGTACGAATGTACGCCCTCTCGTTGTGTCACTTAACTGGGGATCACATTGCCCCTAGATTCCAAACTGTTACGGTGTTAAACAGAATGCATTGTCAAACTTGGAAGTCCTATTATTCGATCCTGAGTGTTAGCGTTCAAACGGCGGACGAAAATTGAGCGCATTAGCAATGCCCTTCACAGATAGTGCGTCGACGGATTCGCATTTTTCGGTGGACGACTGACTAACTAGAAGCAAAAAAGAATGAGTTCAAGATTAAAAACGTTTGGTTGGGCACTGAAACTGCACCGCATCAATTCGGAAGCGAAGCTAGTCAATCTGTCAAGTATAATAGACCTCAGAGGATCAGTGAGTGTAATTTTAACGCCCAGTACTATGTACGGATACATTTTGTTTCATGCTGTATCTTCGAGCTATATGACAGTGAAAAAGTTCGATTGGGTGACGCGAAATCGCACATTTATTTGCAGTAAGACGATCAATCGAGGAATATACTGGGTGTAGTTTGCTGAGCTTCGAGAAGCGTAGTTTAGCGTAACAAAGTTGCAAAGCGCCTTCAATAGTCGTTCAGCTGTAACACCCTTTCGGAGCCTAGCTGCCATGCTATCCTGAGGAAGCACGGGGGGTGAGATACTGCCAGGTTGCCCAAGCAGGGAAAATCGGGAGGCGGAGATCGGGTTCGAAACACGGACCTTCCGACCAGTAAATTCGCACTCTAACTACTGAGACATCTCGCCTTCAGTAAAGTATTATCTGAAATTGAAAAATTTCACGTGTAGTCCAACTCTGAACAGCCTGTACCATTTATGGGGTAGGGGGATTTTATAGGTCCGACAAGCCCTCCACCTGTTAGATCGTCACTTTGAGAACCACTCAGACACAAATTACGTGATGTGAATCGAGTAGTACTGTATCCCGGCTAATTAAAAGTTGACCACACTAATTGATCACCCGCAGCGGAATGGTGAAGTTCAACCGTCCAATCAGAACGGTTCTGAATTCGAGAAAAAGAAGATCACAGCTGACTGAGACCATCCTGGTATTGACATTCGTGCGAGCACATGCGCCTAAGAACAGACTGCATGACAATCAGGACCTTCAGTCAAAACATCAGATTGGGCTAAGGATAGCTCAACGGATAAAGCATGAACTCACTAATCGGGTGGTTGAAAATTCGAACCCACACGCGGTATTTCGACTGCTCCAGGCTTAACTCGGGCAAAGTGGCAGATTTTCAGCTTTCATGCTTCATGTAGTGTGGCAGTGAGTCACCGAAGGGGCGCTACAAATGAACTGTTATTATCATTTCAAATAACTGGTTACACAGCAGCGGCGGCTAATATGAGTAGTTCCGAATCCTCAGCCCTTCTGTCTTCTACTCATCGGGCAATCTGGTATGCGAGAATCTAGGAGTGTCACGTGAAGCTTGATGAGTGACGAAGGCGTATGAGCCATCAGGTAACAGTCAAATGACTGACAGTCAAATGGCCCTGCGACGTTTGCTTGTGGAGTGGGAAGGGGTTGGGGAGGGACATCGATGGACGCTGAACTGCGCGGGCAAATGATACTTCCCGGTTGCCCAGGCCGAGGAAGGGGGTTTGGTTGAGGTACCCCACCTTGAGCCTTCGACTCAAAAGTCTGACCCACAAGGCAGTGGGATGACGTAGGGTTTTGTTCGGGGACCCTGACCCTAGCCTCTGACTCAAAAGTCTGACCCACGAGGCAGTGGGAGAATGTAGGGTTTTCTTTGGGGACCCTGCCCGGAGCCGATGACTCAATAGTCTGACCTGCTCGGCTGCAGGGGGTTGGCCTAACCCGAGGGCGCAGGGAATAAGGCATTACTGTCTCATTCCTGATGCGGCTGCGCACAGCAGGTGCCTTTTGAGCAGCACCGGGCTCTTTGGTTTTAAAAGTATTTCGACCGTATTGGATAATGCGCCGGCGGTCACGGTCAACCGTTGGGCGATCGGAGTGTGCGGTTTTTGGGGCCGACCTTTTCTAACCCGTCCTTCCTCGGGGGAAGGCGGCATCGCTGCTTCCATAAATATGGACATGCTGGTCGCCTGGAGGGAAACACCTTACTGCCTTCACACTCCTGTCGCAGAGGACAGTACGACTTTACCCCCAGACCGCCTGGTAGCACGATTACTCGTAGTACGGCGTCTCGCTGCTCCCCTTTAGCCTTCCTGGCATGGTTGCACCTTGTGGAACGAAGTTCCAGCCAGTGTAGCTCGCGGGATCATTGCAGCACTCAAGCCCGACCACCACGTCAAGGTGGCAGCTTAAGGTCGGGCCATCAGACAACGGTAAGATTCAATTCCTTACTAAATAAAAGACACCGAATTCTTTCTCAGTACTGTCGCTTTCCGCATAAGAATCCATTGGCTAGGAGATGGAACTATGGAAGGTTCACGGTCGCTGATCTAACGTCAGACGAAGTATCGTATGGTTCCGTTTCCCTTAGAATTAGCACTCAGTTTTATCCACCTTAGCTGCTGACACTGGTTTAGAAGTGAGGAGAGAGGCAGGTGGTATCCAAGCACAGCACAACAGCGAAGACATGCGAAGTACACTTACCCAAATCGCTAAGGTACACCGGATTGTCCGCGACCCGCTGACCAGCTTGCAACATGGCCAATACATTCTCCCTACAAACGATAAAGCAAGAGATGAGACTGTAAAACGGCGGCAAACCAGTCAACATGCTATCAGCTTCCAAGCAGTCGGATGGAGGGGACAAAACCTATATCCGAATGACGAGCTTGGTAAGAAATCACAAGCGGTTGATGTGTAAAGATGAACCGAGTGTTGCATTCCGAAGAGAAGTGTCACCTACGATAACCTGAGTCATTTTTGCAACTATTGGGTGGAGGCGGAGTTGGGGTTTTCAGAAAAACTACCCAACGATACTACGCATTCAGTTTTACTCCAGGGTTTCGAAGGAAACTGAAATTAGAGTACAGACTTTGCCTGGACATCAGACTACTCTTAAGGCTGATACAATCGTTAAACAACTTGAATATGAAGGTACATTCCATTGATGAGCACTGTAGACACGGGATTCAGTGGAGTCCACCGTTAGCGTTAACCTATTTCCCAAATGGACTGTAAAGGGACCGATTTTTAGACGGCCGACTTGGCTAAAAAGCCTGACGACCCAAAGACTCTTAGCCAGAAGATGGTTCTACTTAAAGGAAACTACTCACCAGGTTGCTGAAAACTCTCCGGATAGCCCAGACCGGTTTCGCCCTTCTTGGGGCTCATCAGGTAGGCGCAGCTCAAACTCCAATAAAAAGACCCATTGACAATTCCCAACCAGTGTTTATCGGCAAATGTCTCGTTTGCCGAATTCGCCTTGCCACTCAGAAAATGGAACATGATGGAAAACCTTCATCCGTGCCAAATGAGGTCTGCGATAATTGCCAGCTGCAAATAACGAGTCAACTGCTCTCACATAAATCGGGGAGGGTTGCACCTCCGTACGTACGATATCTAGTCAGTTTCATCAAAAACTAAACGAACACGATGTCTGTCGAAAGTAGATAAATTTATTGTGAACAGAGAATAAACTGGGCACAACAAGATGGATAGGAAAAGGACTTTCTGATATACAGTTCCCAAGACTCGATGTACTCAGGAGTATTTCTGAAATCTGCGGAACATCCTCCAAATGCTTGACATTAACGTGTACATACTGTTGACAATTCCTCAAAGGTGATATCTGAAGCTCCACGCGAAATTGCTACTTATATTTGGCACTGGTAACATGAACCACTGAGGAAAAAACCTAAGTCCTTATTAGTGTAATGAGTGGGCAATCAAAGAAGCGAGCCAAGAGCCGACCTAGGAGCACTCACGTGGGAATTCGAACGCGGGTCGCCAAAACAGAAATCCTCGAGGCTATCCACTAGATGATTTCGGGCAACGAAACCTTGATTTGCAGACTCAATTTACTAAGGTCTGGCGGTAGTAAGCCAAAAAACCGAAAAGGTAAATGGAAAAATGGCCATAGCTGGCGAGACAGCGATATCCTTTGATCCTCCAAGGAGTGGAATTCAGATTCACGTAGCGACTCATTATCATAGACAGCAACATCAGTGTTGGCACTGATGCTCCACTGCCGTACAACCATAAGGTTCGTCTAGTTATATATATATATATATATATATATATATAT